ATGGACACAGCAGACAGCACTGTGGGGGGATGGGAGAGGCAACATCCTCTGCTGTGTTTTCGCATGCTCTGCTGAGGCTTTCCCTCACTGTGGGGCCCTGAGGAAGGTATTGCCACCCTGGAACCTGCCTCGGGTTGCCTTTAAGAGTGAGGTGGCACCAAGTGGAACTGGGTTTGTACCGTGTCTACAGTGGGAACCTGGGCTGGCGAGTCTCAGCTCTAAAGTCACTGAGGCAGGTGTTGGTTCTGGGTTGGCCACGAGTGAAGAGTTGTGAGAAGAGGATGTTTCCTGAGAAAAGTGAACACCCCGTGGTGTTTGAAGTAAAAGAGGGCTAGAGATGGCTCAGTGGAGAAGGGTGCTTGCTATGTACACATGAAGACCACACAAAAAGCAGCATGGCGGTGCTTGCCTTTCTGTACTGGAACAGGAACAGGCAGACCTCGCCATCTTTCTAGCCAATGAGCTTCCAGTTCAACAGGGATCTTGTCTGAAAGATAAAGCCAAAGTGCAATAGAGAATATTCAACACCATCCTCTGGCCTCTGCATGGGCACAGGCACATAGACCTACACACTCACACGCACCAGGACAGAGGAAGACAGAGTAGTATCTGAACATCCCATCCAGAAGCTGGTGCGTGAGAACGCAGGTATGCTGCCTTCTTTCCTCTGGGATCCCTGTCTGCAGATCTGTGAGAGCTTGACTTGGCATCACCCCAGAGAGGTTGTCACGCTAACAGGCCCCTAGAACCTAGTCATCTGGCATAATTGAACTTTATACCTTGACTAGCAAGTCTCCTTTTCTGCCTCCCTGAAGCTCCAGGCAACCGTATTCTAGTGTTTCTATGAGCTTCATCTTTTTTATTCCACAAGTGAAATAATATAGTGCAGGGCTTGTCCATCCTTGGCTTACCTCATTTAGCATAGTATCTTCTAAGCTCTAAATCCTTGTATTTTTTTTTCATCCTTGTATTTTTCAAGGTCCAAAAACATTTCAGCGTGCACTCATGTGTGTGTGTGTGTGTGTGTGTGTGAGAGAGAGAGAGAGAGAGAGAGAGAGAGAGAGAGAGAGAGAGAGAGCCTTATCCATGCAAATGGCTGTAGAATGCCTAATTCCGTATCGTGACTAAGAATTGTGCTGCAGTGAACGCGAGTGTGCAGATGCCCTTCTACGTCCTGGTTTCAGTTCTCTTGAATATGTAGTTCGAAATAGGGTTGAGTATTATGTTGTTAGCTCTGTCTTTTAATAGTTTTAGTAACGTCAATGCTGTTTTCATAGTGGCTGCACAATTGCACATTCCCACCAACAGCATTCTAATTGCTCCACATCCCCACCATCCTGTCTTGTACTTTTGATAACATGCACCCTGCAAGTCCAGGGGGTACCTCACTGTGGTTTTGATTTGCATTTCCTGGCCACCAAGCCCAAAGGATCTTCCTGTCCCTGCTGTCCCCCATCCCAGCTCTAGAGCCACAGGGATATGCCAGTCAGCCTTTTCTATGAGCTCTAGCATCTGACCACATGTCATGGCTGGCCACAGGCACTTTGCCCTGAGCCTTCTCCCCAACTGTTTGCTTTGTCTTTGATCCAGGCAACCTGTCCTGTCCCCACACAGTTGGAGGCTGCACGCAGCCATCTTGCTGCTTTCTTCCTTTGCTCTACACACCTAGGTCCATAACCTGCCTGGAACATGTCTTGGGGCATGAAGGAGGTGTTCTTCCCGATGCTGCTACAGCTAATCCCATGCCATCTCTTTAAAGGCAGCTCACCTTTGCCACAGTTGTGTCTGTTCTGTGGTTCTGCTCTGTCTGTCCCATTTTGTCCAGAGAGAAACACAGAGTTTAGAAAGCCCCCAAGCTGGCAGCTGGTGCTTGTTCACGGACTTGGGCACTCTCAGGTCGGTGTTAGTGGACACAGCTTCGTACAACACAATCCATCCAACAAGTTTATATTCAGTTAGCGTTGTGACATGTTTGACACTCTGCTAACTACCTATGTCCTCCAAGTTCCCTGTGTGGTAAATGTTCATGACAGACACCTGGCCCACAGCTCCAGTGCAGAGCAGAAGTACGGTCTGATGATGAGTCCCAGGCCTCAGGCTCAGGCGGATCACAGCTCTCACCCCCAGCTGTGCTCGTCTCCTCCAGCTGATCAAACCCCCAGGCCAGTGCCTTGCGGTGAAATGCCATTTTTTAACATCTACCGTAAGGTTCGGGAAGGATCCTCAAAGCTGTAAGTGATGTTACAGCCCAGGGCCTGGTGCTCAGTAAGCTGTTACTAAAACAGAAAGCTGCTGTTGTCTCACTTTCTCTCCAGCCAACCTTGTGAGGTTATCTGTGTTTTATCTGACCTCTGAGAGCGCTCTCCTAGTTGATCCATAGAGATGTGTGCTCCTCATTTCACTATGGAAGCACAGGTCAGCCGGTAAACACACTGGCCGCCGTGACAATGCAGAGCTGCTTTCCAAGAGCAAAGCCCTGGCCCTGGCCTCACCACGTGCCTCACTTGGGGCTTCACTGCTGTGATGAGGCACCATGACCATGACAACCCTTACAAAGGGAAACACTTATTTGGGGCTGGCTTACATTCAGAGGGTCAGTCCACTGTCGACACGGCAGGCAACACGGCGGAGTGCAGGTAGGCACGGTGCTGGAGGGGACCTGAGCTCTCTATCCTGATCTGAAGGCAGCCACAAGACTGGACCTGTTTCACACTGGGCAGAGCTACAGCATTTAAGCCCTCAAAGCCCCGCCTCCACAGTGACACACTTCCTCTAACAAAAAAGATAAAGCCAAAGTGCAATAGAGAACATTCAACACCATCCTCTGGCCTCTTCCAAAAAGGCCCCAACTCCTAATAGTGCCACTCCTATGGCCAAGCATTCAAACGAACATGAAACTATGGGTGCCATCTCTAGACTGACCGCCCCGGCAACTCTTCAACATCTCCACCTGTCCCTGGTCACTCGTTCTCTTCTGAACATGACCTGGAGAATGAAAGGGCACGGTGCTGCCCAGCTGAAGTGTAGGCCTGACCCAGGGGGGCACCTTCCAGTCGCTGTGCTTTCACCCTGTTTTGCCCGTGGACAGCCTCATCTTGGCCTCATCCCTGTGGACACAGAAGGTCACTCTCCAAGGCTCTAGCAGGCGTTACATTCCGGTAGGCAGCTCACTTACCAAATGAGTGTGCCGTCCTCCCTGTGGCGTCTGCTGCTCACACCTGTCCGACAGCAACTGAAGTCATGTCTGCTACCAATAAAGAAACCCAAATGCTCTTCCTTAAAGTCACAGGAGACCAAAAAAGGCTATCCAGGCTGAAGACCGTATCAGTGTGATCCCACTACCAAGATGCACTGTTGTCTCCACACTAGCTTGTTGAAGGCACAATTCCTTTACAAGCATAGGGAAATGCCTCACACAGACTTCTCCGTTTGAGCACTTCACTTCTGGAGCACTTGTAATTATTAGGTTTATTAGCAGAGCTTAATGAAAACAAGAGAAGACTATCAAGTTGCTTATGTAAAGATCTCGGCAGAAGGTGGTCAGATCTTTGACCTGATTTCAAGCCATAAAAATATTGGAATCCAAGCACCCTTGAAAAGCCTTCTATCCCCCACCAGGGATGAATATGCTTTTCTGGTGTGTAACTCAAACTTGTTTTCTTTGCCAAGTGAATAATTAAGAAGCTGCACCTGTTACTTTTCTTGAGTTGATTCGACTTAATGAGCCCCATTTGGCGGCCCTCTCTGCACCCCAGATGCCACACCGCAATCACTCCTATTGCACGGCAAACAAAGGGCTTCCTCCTTGACAAAGGAATGTGATTGGGAAATGCTTTTTCCATGTGCATGAAAACTGAATCTCAATACATATACTGGTGTCTCTGCACATTTGTTGCTAAAATAAAACACCCAAGATTCAAATATATAAACATATATATGTGTGTATTTAAAATCAGACTAAGTAGCTCCACTGCTGTAGTCAGCATCTCGAGAGGGTCCGATATAATAGTGTCTTTGACCACGCAAGTGTGGCGGAGAGCTCACTTACTTTGGCTAAGTAGAGTCAGAAGGAGTACAGAGGAAAAAATATACTCTTTTACTAGATTCCTATGAATATGTAATGTAGTCCCATGTTAAAATAAATACATTTCATAACCAGTGCAGAAAACAAAGTGCCCAAGGGCTTCTGGTCTGAAGAACACAAGTGTATCTGAACACACTGAGCCCCTCCCATCCTGGTGAGACCAGGTTTGCACAGCAAACTCCTGTGCACTTCCTTCAGGCAACATTCTCTTGCACAGCCCTGGAGCCGAGGGTCCAGAGGTCACCCAGAGAAGCCATCCCCATCACGTGGGGTCTCAGGCGTGTCTGATATTCTCACAGAATACTCATCTGACACCGGCAACGCCAGGCCCAGTGCCACGTGTGGCAACATGGTGGCTGAAGTCTCCCCAGCACAGCTCTGGCCAGCCACTGCAGAAAGCAAAGCTGCAGCGGGAAATCAGGGGCAGAGCAGACAGGGACCTGAGACAGAAGACACGGGCAGACAGCACGCGGTTTTCACTTTCAGCTCCATTTTGGAATAATTTGTTGGTGTTTGTTGCAAACATACGGCAAGGGGGGCCAACCTGCCCTCGCTCACACGCTCTCTGGCTGCACGTGGAAAACTGCATCGGAATCGGGAAGAGTGCCAAAGTCTGCGGCCTGGTCTCCAGCCTCACCCCACTGCAGCTCCCTCAGCAATCCCAAGCCAGCCCCCGTCACACTTCCGCTCTCTGTGCACACTCACAGAGCATGTGGCCATGTGCACACATTCTCACAGAGCACACGATCACGAAGTTAGGGAGACTTCCTTGTCTTTTAACCCAGTACTTCTGTTTGTTTGTTTGTTTGTTTGCTTGTGGTTTACAGGAATCCTCACTGGGGCATGTGGCATTAAAATTTTAATCTTCCAAACACTTTAGTCACAATACAGTTTCTAACAGAAAACGAGGCACCAGAAACCACCATGGGCACCCTTTATTTTAACTTTCAGCACGAACAGTTGTAACAGTAAACAGCTCACCATAACAAGACTCGCTGCCCACTAGCAAGCTCAGTACTTGGTCCCAAACCACTGGTTTATTTTCGCCACGCTGAGGTAGAGGACCAGGCTGATGAGGAAGTACTCCTCCGTCTCTTCAATCCACACCAGCTCCGCATGCACGCCTCCCTCTGGGTCCATGTAGCTGACATAGTAAGTGTGCCCCAGGAAGGTGGGGCCGTCCAAGGGGCAGGCAGCAGATGCCACACGCACGGGAGAGCTCACGCACCACAAGGGCTTCCTGTGCTCATCCAACAGGGTCACGTCCAGTATGGAGCAGCTCTGAAACAAGACGCACAAGGTCAGGGCGGAACGCTCTCCATGGGACTGCGACCCTCCAAACAGGCTGCCCAGCTGCGTGTGGCACACAACTCCAGAATCCTGTCAGGCACACCATGGGACCTACTCTTCATCCAAACACCATCAGTCAGAGCTGAAGGCGCTTCCTCACAGCCGTTCTCATCCTGTGTTTGTCTGAGAAGCTGTCAGGGCACGCAGAAGTCAGTGCTGCAGCCTGGCTGGAGGTGACAGGCCTCGCACAAATGAGAGGCCTGTGTCAGTGCTTCAGGAAGGTGGAGCCACCCCCAGACAACAGCTTTTCCATGCCCTAGCACACAGCTGCCAGAAACCCTTACAGACCCGTGCCCTGGAGTCTTGCACTCCCAGCTCTTCCACCATTGCTCGTGTCGGTTTTCTCTGATGTTCTTTGGCCTCCTGTTTATACTGCTCACCATCCACATCTGTGTCCTCTCAGTGTCCCTCTCTTTCAAGTCATTCCCAGTTCCTGAGGGACCCCAACCACCCAAGGATCCTACTGAACCCCATGACACTGACTCTCAACCCTAGGCTACCTGACCCCTGCAATCTGTTCCTCAACCTCATCTCAGTTATTCACTCTGTTCCACCTCCTGGAAATGCTGCACTTCCACAGTCAACACTGTGGGCCCTGCCATCTAACTTGTGTCTTCACCTTCCTGCTTACTTAGCTACTCCGACCCCCAGCCCACCAGACAACACTCAGCAGAACTTTGTCACCGCAAGCCATCATGACTAGCGCACCCTGGATGACACGGCACAACATGTAAGGTACAACGCACGACACGCCTTGTGTGTCGGGGGGGATGCCCAGCAGGCAGTGGAGTCACACATGAACTGTCCCCAGACAGCAGGCTCAGACCTGCTCTGCGCTGTGCGGCACCCTCCCCGTCCCTAAACTGCCATACCTGACCCTCCCGCACAACTCTCTGTGCCCTACTCACAGGGCTGCCCACAGATCATGAACTCTTCCCAGAAAAATGCGAGGAGCATTTCCCTCTCTCCAATGGCAAACACACAGTATGGCCCACCATCCCCTCACCTACGTATTTGTGTCAGTGTGCTTTCATTAGGTGGGTTTTCGTATGGCCAGCCCACCAACAAGGAGGCAGCGTCTGACACAAAGGAGTGCTGCTCCTTTTCCAGCAGCTTGTCATTTTCAGATAGGTTCAAGTGACTCTCAGGGAGGAGGGGTCAGATAAAGAGGAGAGGAGCAAAAGGGAGGTGAAAGGAGAGAAGGGGAAGGAAGGAAGAGCAGAGGGAAAGGGAGGAGAGGCCAATGGACAGAGAAACAAGGCCCCAGAGCCTCTGTGTCCCTTGTTCTCCCTTCGCAGGCAGAACTCTCTTTTCTTTGTCTGATGCCTCACCCCTGCTCACGCTTCAGCCCACTGTCACCCAGCCTCTTCCTAGGTTCTCTAAACAGAGTAAGTGATTGTTAGGTCTCTACGGTGGCAGGGTTAACGCTGCTTATCATTCCCTGCTTTCAAATATCACCTTCCCAGGGCTTCCCAAACCACCTACAGCTCCACCAGCCCCACTAGCAGCAGGCCTCACAGCCTGACCTAAAGCACTGCTTTATTATACATAACCTCTCTCTCCCTAGATGGAATTTGTCTACATCCAAAACTCAAATAATAATCAAGGTGTCCATGACTTCCAAAGTGTACATCCAGGCTGAACCGCCTTCAAGTTCAGGAATTAAGTGTGAGTTTTTGCTCAACACCATGGATGAGCCAAAAGTCAAAAGTCGATCGAGTGTGGTTCACACCAGCAGAACGCCTAGACCTGCACCTTGGGCATGGAGCAGCATCACTGAACATGAGCTGTGTTGATGTCTGCTGTCATCCTAGCTCCTGCTGCCCCGCCTGTAGCCCACTAACCCTGCATGGTCTGGACGACATCCAAACCAGTGTCAAGCTCCATGCAGCTCCCCAAGCCTAGGCTACAGATTGGGCCTGTCTGAAAAAAAAAAAAAAAAAAAGTCACATATGACTATTAAAATAGAAATAAAAGACAGAGCCGGGGAACTGTGAACACCACCTTCTAACGTATAAAAGGTCCCTCTGGCTAAAGGCTGGTAAGTGTGTCACCCAAATATGATTCTGTTAACAGAACAAAGCCATGCTTTGTTGCTCTGCTTTCTTTGAAGTGACTTGCGAGCTTGACAGAGGTCTCTGATGGCCTGGGCTTCACGTTTCCAAGAGCAAATACTGGTCCCAAGAGCAAATACTGGCGAATGAGGGAGGGAGCTGAGAGTCGATGGCCTGGAAATGGTACAGCAGGGAGCATCCTGAGCCCGGCCAGTGGAGTTCAGACATCTCTCGGTACATGTTCAACTTGCAGGTCATATCATCACATGGTTTTCTTTTACAAGAAGAGCGGTGGTAGAAATACACTGGACTCATGTGTGCCGTGGCTGCATGGCAGTGTGGCCCACAGGATGGCACTCTATGGTCAATCACTATGCAGTGGTATGGGACCCACACAGGCCGGTGCTCTATGGTCAATCACTGTGCGTCCTGTGCAGTAGGGTGGGCCAGCCAGGTCCTGTGTCAAGTAGCCTTACTACAGTGTTTGGTATAATTCACAGTGACATGCTCTCTAATCTGTCTCTATCCCAATCAGAATCTCTGATTGATGGATTTCTTTAGGCAAACCTTTTCTTATGCCTTCCTTTGCTTTTTCTCCAGGCCTTGTCATTTTAAAAAGCTGAGGCTACAACTCCCAGGCAAAGACATTGTCTTTTATTTCTATTTTAACAGTCACATGGGACAAAGAGAGGGCCTTACTCTATAGCCCAGGTTAGCCTTGTATTGTAATCCTTCGTTTCTCCAGTGTGGAGGTAAAGACATAAACAAGTACATCAAACTAAAGCCCTATTCCACCTTATTCCTTTCTTTTACACAGAACAGAGGCTAAATCCCTGAAAGGCAGTTTCTTAAATTGCATTTTACTGTTCGCTCTGCTTAGGATGGTTGCATTCTTGGAAGGAAATCCCTGAGCTACACAGCACATGCATAGAAATGGTGTCCCTCACTTGGGCACTTTCTCTGGGGACTGAAGGATCACTCCGCCATAACACATGGGTCAGGCTCCATGTATCTGTGGTGTGTGCAGAGCCACTCGCCCTCCAGTTCAGAAGAGACAGCAAACTCCTACCCTCTTGAAAGGTATGACTGGAGAAACTGTCCGGGTTCAGGTCAGCTACCCTACTTCAAGACTCAGAATCCTGCCTTACGCGGAACCACCTACAGACACACTGGCCCGGCCTTCCAGGCAGGTCAAGTTCTGCAACCTCTGTGGAAGTGCTGTGGATGTCCCCAGCCACCTGCTGCTTATGGACTCTTTAGGGTTGGGTCTTCCTTGCATGCAGCTCCAGGGGAGACTTTGTTTTCAGTACCAGAGCTAGGACAAAGCTTTGTCTCTCAGTATGATTACTTTACTTCCAGAGAGAATTGAACACCTGCTTTGATCTTGATCTGAACAGAGAAAAAAGCAACTTTAAAATTACCCTGACTCTTACACTTGTTATATTTATATTCTGCCTTTCTTTCTTTCTTTCTTTCTTTCTTTCTTTCTTTCTTTCTTTCTT